CCAAGAATGACAATGGAGTCAGGGCTAGCCGACCCAAGCTGCCAAAATTTAGTTTTGTGAGTGAATGTTTTATTATGTTTAGTTTTTGTTATAATAAGAGTTAAAGGCAGACGAATGTAGGAAGTTTTGTTAATAATTCATTGACGTCGAGAATATAGAAGGTGGGCAGACGAGTAAGTGATAATGATATAAATAGCGTGAGATGAGCGGGAAGCAGCACACAGACAGAAGCAAACAGATAATAGTGAAAGAGAATAAATTTGGTGTGAAGTTAAAGTACTGTAGAAGTGATAGGCCTAACGATTGACATAGGCCTAACATTTAATATGTAAGAGTGAAACAGTAAAAAAAAAGGATAGAAAAATAATTTTATTCCATCAGATTGTGGTTCTAAAGTAATTGAATAAGCCTAAGTGCACTTTGATAAAAGGAACAGAGGATCTTCAGAAGAAAGAAGACCAAACGATTACGGTAACTCACACCACAATTGTAAGTGAATCACAGAGAATACTAGTGCGATAGAAATATAAAAGATAGTTTGGCTTGTCAACTAAAATTCTAAAGTAATTGAATAGGCCTAAGTGGGTATTTGACAAGAAGGAGAGAACTATATATATATATAATACTTATGATATGTCCATAATATCTATAGGGTTGAAGAATTTATTGTACATATGTTAACTTGTTCTGATTATATATATATTATTTTGAAAACAAGTTAAGTGCATGCTGTATATTCATCATTGAATTTATCACTAACGAGTCACAGACTCCTACTGCAGATGAATCTTAAGCCCAAGAACAGCATAGTATATATTTATACTATTAAGAAATATAATGAAAAGCCTTTGACTTCTGACAGTTGGCAAAGAATTATATTTTTTAATTCTGACAAATAGGTTGAATACATCAAAGCTGATCATTGTCCTTATAAATTTTATTTTGGTTGTTTTTATAATTCTACAAAATAGACTAAATTCTTAAAATGTCAGTATGTGTTTTACCATTCAGGGATGACATGGTCAATTTTTACAGTTGACTGTGGGATGTAAAGGCATTAATCTATAAGATATCTAACTAAAGATGGTGGCAGGTGAATCTCTGCCTTTAACAATGGGATGGAGAAGATGTAGACTTATTTGTGAATTTCAGATAAACCATAGATGTGTGGAACGGTGAACTGTTAATTGTTTGACTGCTTCTGTTTCAAGTTATTTTTTTATGTTTCTTGAAGAGCCGGTTAATCACTTTATCTTAATCTTCTTGTGGTGGTCATCTTCATCTAGAATGTGGACCTTAACAGTACATTCCTATTTATTCATAATTACAGTGGTATTACCTTTATTTGCTGGTAGAATTCTGTCTTTCTTTAAGTTCCTGAGGGCAGTTTTTTACTGTAAATGGGTTTACTTTTCATAGCTTTCTGGACTGCTGACTTTATTTTGATTCTGAATTTTTTTTTTACTTCTGAGAAGCTTTAAGTTATATCTTCTGTGGTTTTTCCTATAGAAAAAGAAAAGTAACTAATAAAACTTTAGGCTTAAATGACTACACAGGCTACTAAGTAGTGAATTATATCTGATCATTGCAACCTTACTGTAAAAACTAAAAAAACTTTCACAAATTAAAGTAGTAATAGTGTTGTAACTCATGAAAGTAAAATAATTAAATGCTTAGAAAGTCAATAGATTTTAACTTGAGACAAGCTTTATTTATATAAAGTTAAGAAAGTATATTTCAAAATGTTTGGCGTGTAACTAGCATCTTTAGTTTTTTTTATATGATATTTAAGTGATATATAATGAAATACTGTTTAAAATATGTATGAAAACTATGTTGTGTTGTTGCTCTATGTTTTAGAATTGAGCTCATATTTTAGCTTTGCAAGTAAAAGTAAATGCCATAGCTGCTAAATGACTTTTCATTATGTGAATCTAAAGCATCTTCTTTGTCATTAGTTGTCAACTTTTAGTTCATTTGAATTACATGTTAGAGTATTGTACTTATCCAAAGCTGTAATTATAACTTTAATATTTGTTGAAAAAATATTTAATTCAAAGCCTTATAATATATGTTTCTAAAGAAATAATAAACATTTATGAAACTGTTTATATTTCCTAACATAAAATTTTTCACACATAAACAACATTGGGAGTTTATAAAATAATATGAACTAAAATATCTTTCGAATTATTTCATCATTTTGAAAAACCTTAATAAGTTATTAAAATTCTTTAGTGTGTGTGAACTTTTTAGTTTTGATGGTTTCCTATAAACAGTACCTTTGGGAAAGATCCTGTTTAATATTTTTTATTGCAGATATATATTTCACTCGTACAACAAACTTCCAAGATGGTAAACATGCCACTATATCAGTACTTCTGGGTTCTCATGGTGACTATTCGAGCTTCAAAGCACATAATGAGGTAAGGCTTGACTATTCTTTTCACTTTTAAAAATGCTTCAGTGAAATAAATGAAAAAGTTATATGATATAGTGAAATACTGTTGAAAATTTGTACAAAAACTAAGTCGTATTTTTGTTTTATGTTTTAGAATTGAGCAGATTTTCTAACTTAACAAATACAGACATTAAACATTCATCATTTTACACAGCTTGAGGTATAAAAAATTGTTATTTTTTTAAACCTCCCTACTTATCACCTTTTTTATAGGTAATTATATTTATTGGGAAGTTATAAGTTGTAGCCTAAAGTATACATAGTAAGAATTTATATTGCAATTAGGTGAAAGTGTGTATAAACCAGGAAAATGTTGTTAGTCAGACATTGACCTGGGTTGTTGGGTGAATTAACAAACAGGTGCAGCAGGTACCAAATTTTCGTTTTCCTACTACTATCTAAACTGTTTTAGTATTTTGATAAATTTTTCTTTGTTATGAAAAATGTTTTTCTTTTATTAGTTTATTAAGGAGTATTTTTGGTCAATAAAATATTACTAATACAGCTTTCATTACTATTGGGTTTTTGTATTGACTGTACTAACTTCTTTGTGTAGAACATCAGTGAAGTTCTTATAGGAGCTTTCTTGGTCAATAGCAAGATGAGCTGGGACCTGATAGATAATATTGTGAAACAGACATTTAAGGTAAGAAAGATCAGTATTTTGCTTCAAGTGTAATCCATTTAATTTTCAATTCTGTCATCTTGTGAAGATAAATAATTATAGTTTAATACTTATATAGATTTGTTATTAGCTGCTGCATAGCAGCTCCTAGAATGGCTCTGAATTTTTTATCAAGTACAAACATTTAGCTCATAGATCCGTCATCTCTTGACTAATTTGAGATATAATTACAGTTTTGGACTCTGGATATTAAACTCTTTCAATTGATGTATTTGACCACGCCCAAGGTATCATAGATTAATTTACTCTAATCCTGCCTAATAGAATTTCAATTTGAGTGTAGGCTGGTAGAGATCCTGATGAGTAATAAAATTGAATCGAATATATACACACACCCATGCTTTGTATTACTGGTGCACAAAATTATAGCAAATAACAAGGAAAAAAAAAGGTATTTTAGATTAATTTACTCTAATCCTGCTTAAAAGAATTTCAAGTGCTGTGGCTATCAAGGATTCCCTCTTGTTTTTAGGTCATCTTCAACACAGAAATAGTTAATGGTGTAGTTTTTATTGTAGCACTCAATTATAACCTCTTATTACACTGGCTCAAGCATTTCTGATAGCTGGTTATTATTCCTTTTTTTTTATTCAAACATCATAAGAAACAGATTAGACAGACTATATAAGGTAGAAAACCATTACTGTGAACAATTTGTGTAGTATCAACCTCAAATACTTCCAAGTTGAAGAGATTGTTGAAAAGTGTATTAATTTAATCATTACGCTTGGAACATTTAGACTTTCTCACTTAAGATAATCTTCTGTAAAATGTCATCATAGCAGAGCTAATTAGATTAAATAATGCTCAAAACAAAAGGCCCAAGTTGATCATAGTATGGGTGTACTGCCTGATAGAAAGTAGCGAGTATACATTATTTTGGTAAATGTTTTTATCAGAATACTGGTGATATTTTTTAACAGAAATATAGATAACAGTAACTTAGAAAACCTTTCTACTTTTTCAGATTCTTCTCTTTGTAACTAAATAATTAAAACATAGATGCAAGAATATATATCTTTCAAGACAAATTATGAATGCTTTCTAAAGAAAATTATTCTAAGGTTTAAGCAGTGAGTGAGTAAAAGTATTTATAATAAAAGTTATATTTCTGTAATATCAGTGATTGATGAAAAGATGAAATTGTTTAACTGTTGCCTTGTGTGAATGCATTTCTGAGAATCATCCTTTGATAGGAGTATGTCCAAAGGATTGATCCTCTATCAAGCTTGGGATTGAGCACAGAAAGTATTTTAAGCTATCAAGTGGGAGAAATTGTTCGAGAAAAAGGTAAATATTTAATTTATCATTTATCTGATAGAGTTTTTGAATGAACATAAATGTTTGGTTCATATAGATAAAAGCTAGTGAATTATATGTTTTTATTAAATTATAAAATACTATTTATTGAACTATGTGTTGTGTATGTATGTTTGTGAGAAAATTTTGAATAGTCCAGGAACATAAAATTACTAATATGGTGCCATAAGTGTACTTTGCCTTTTCTGGTGGTGGTATTTTATGTATTTATCAAATTTGATGTAAGAATTCTTTAATATATGTTATTCTATGGTAAATAATGTATATAAACTAAACATGCTAATTTTTTATAATCTGGTTACACCTCTGTTTTAGAAAATTTGTAAGTACTTTGATGTTGTGTATTTACTAATTGATATTACTTTTAAATTATATTCTATATTTTCTGTTAACTCATAAAAACATTTTGAAAATCCTTTGCAAAAGGGATATAGAATACAAAAAAGCTATTGTACTAAGAAAATAAACAGGGTGTTTTTTCCTTGTGTAACTGTAATGTAAAAATACCCAAAGAAGTGATTGTAAAAAACATTTAGAACAAACATAAAAATAATAGATATTGTGATATAAAATGGGACATGCAAAACAGGCCAACATAAAGTTAAATAAAACTAATGAAAGTGAAGAGCCTAATCTTTAGTATAAAACACCTATAGTGAGTGGCCCAACAGTAAGCGTAAAGGATTACAGTGGTAAAAACCAGTGCATCAATACCTGCAGTGGGTAGAGCACAGATAGCCCATTGGGCAGTTTTGCACTTAAAATCTTCTAAGAATATCTGCACTTATATATAAGTAAATAGAATTTTCATAATTCTATTAATGTAGTTTTCTCGTTTATATCATTTTTAAGATTAAATATTACAATTTCTTAAATCAAAATAGACTTTTCAAACAGTGAAACCATATCTCAGAGTATGCCATTATAGAGAGTATACATAAAGTGAAATATTAAGTTTTTAAAACCTTTCTTATTTATACTGAACAACCCACATTAAGAATTTGAAAATTGCTTTAAAAAGAGTTTCACATCATTGATGTGAGTTCTTAATTTATTAAAAAATATACTTGCTTTAGACCATGAAAAAACAAAATCTAAGGCTGCCTGCTTTATTTTTATGTTGCTCAACAGAATCCGAAAAACCTGAGTTATTGCCGTGTGGTTACCTAGTTGGTAATAATATGCAAGTTCAAGTTATTCTTAAAGGTAAGTTTTATCTGCCTGTTTTTTGTACTCTTCCAGAACACAGTTTGATAAGTTACAGTGCCAATTTATGTGAATTGTGCTTTCAGGTTATAGTTATTTGCTTTTTTTTTCAGTAATTTAGATCTGCATTTACAAGAGTTATTAAAAAATTGATTATTTGCTGAAACAGCTTATAAAATTGTAATAATTCATTTATTTCTGAATAGAAATTAATGTTTGATATTCATGCAAATTACAGTTTAAAATTTTCCATTATTATTGTCGATTTTTATGCAAAATATATTTGGTACAGTTTTGTCTTTGAATTTGATTTGTTTATTGAATAATATTTGTTTTCAATATAATGTTGTGTATCAATTGCTATAAATAATAAATGGAGATATAATATTTGGCACAATTCAAATTTTAAATTGTTTTGAAAAGGAACAAGTCAGAATTCTGTTGATGGCCTCTCTTTTGAAACACTGATTGCCAAATCAATAATTCAACGGTATGTGTCATTGTTGTTGGAACACAGGAGGATAATTCTATGTGGGCCGAGTGGAACAGGTAAAACCTACCTTGCTCAGAAGTTGGCAGAGCATTTGGTTCTGAGGTACGATGTTTTTTTTTTTTTTGTGAAATATATCATATGCAAGATATAAGCACAATAAAATATCCCTCTGTGCTTAATACTGAAGAAAGTAACAAAACTATATTGAAAAGTGTTTCTTCTTTTTCCAAATGCAAAAGTTTCAGTTGTTAAATGAAATTTAGCATTCCATTAAAATAGATTAGTAAGAAGTCTTAATGAAAATTTTTAATTAAATAAACCTGTATTCATTTGAGACAGATTTACTGGGATCTCTATACATCTTTTGGTTTTATTAGAAATGTTAAAGAAGTCAGTCCTGGTGCTATAGCTATATTTGGGGTTGACCACAAGTCAGCTGAAGAACTTCGGCAGTATTTGTCTACTGTAGCAGAGCAGTGTGAGAGAAGGTAAGCTACTTTTTTGTCTACTGTAACAGAGCTGAGTGAGAGAAGATAAGCTACTTTTTTGTTTACTCTAGCAGAGTAGAGTGAGAGAAGATAAGCTACTTTGTTATCTACTTGAGTAAAAAAGCACATTATGCTAATATGATAATAGGTAGGCAAACAATGAGTTATAAGCATAAGGAAGAATTTTATTGATGGTGGAACATACTACGTGTTTCTACATTATGTTTCACCATTACAAAAATTCTTCTTTATGCTTATAAATTGTTTTCTTCCTACCTGTTATTAATTTGTTGTTTATTGTAGGAAAGCAGAGTGAGAGAAGGTAAGCTACTTTGTTGTCTACTGTAGCAGATCAGCATGAGAGGAAATAAGCTACTTTGTTGTATATTGTAGTAGAGCAGTGTGAGAGGAAATAAGCTAGTTTGTTGTATATTGTAGCAAAGTAGCATGAGAGAAGATATGTTACTTTGTTGTATATTGTAGCAGAGCAGCATGAGAGGAAATAAGCTACTTTGTTGTATATTGTAGTAGAGCAGTGTGAGAGGAAATAAGCTACTTTGTTGTATATTGTAGTAGAGCAGTGTGAGAGGAAATAAGCTACTTTGTTGTATATTGTAGTAGAGCAGTGTGAGAGGAAATAAACTACTTTGTTGTATATTGTAGTAGAGCAGTGTGAGAGGAAATAAACTACTTTGTTGTATACTGTAGCAAAGTAGCATGAGAGAAGATATGTTACTTTGTTGTATATTGTAGCAGAGCAGCATGAGAGGAAATAAGCTACTTTGTTGTATATTGTAGCAGAGCAGCATGAGAAAAGATATGTTACTTTGTTGTATATTGTAGTAGAGCAGTGTGAGAGGAAATAAGCTACTTTGTTGTATATTGTAGCAGAGCAGCATGAGAAAAGATATGTTACTTTGTTGTATATTGTAGTAGAGCAGTGTGAGAGGAAATAAGCTACTTTGTTGTATATTGTAGTAGAGCAGTGTGAGAGGAAATAAGCTAATTTCTTGCAGGCATCTGTTATATTTTTATGAGATGAAGGTAGCTAGAAATTTTGATTTTTTTGTAGTGTTTTATTGAAACTTTATTTTTAGTATTTTTGCATAATTTACCTTTTCAGAAACCACGACTAAAGAAACCTTTTCCTTTTAGCAGGTGGACTTTTCTCTATCAGAGGTAGAATGGGAATTATTTAAAAAAACAGTGACACCATTTTTAAACTTGAAATGGATTAAATTGTTTAGAAACATCAATTGTAAATTTAGACTGGAAGTCTTTCCAAAGATAAAAAAAACTACCTGAGAGCTGAACCAAAAATTGCTAGATATATTACCTATAGCTAAATTATTAATAATTAATAAACAAAAATCATAGTAATGTTAACCAACAGTGAAGAGGCGTGCATTTGCTATATATATAATGAAAAAGTTTCTATCATCATTAAGTCCAACTGTGAATTAATAATACAAAAATCTATAATATTAAGAAAATTAGCTATATCAATTAATGTTATTCCTTAATTGTTAGAGATGTAAGAAAAACTAGCATCTTAGATTGTTGTTTTACTGACAATTCCTGTCGCAATGATCTTGTTCCTGACATGAGTCATTCTTGATCATAAGTACTTTCTCTTAAGAGTAGAAAAACCTGTTTACTATTTTATACAAATATCCACTTACTAGTCATTCCTAATTTATTTGTTCTGAAAACTCTGGCATATTTTCCTTTTTTAGTTTTAAACTTCTAGCTGTATTCATGTTTTTCTCATTCATCCTTTCATATTCTTTTATTTTGTTTTTTTTATATCTTCTTATGTCTTTCCTTCCTCTCTAGTTTGCTACTTCTCTAAGTCTCCTCTTTTGTTTTATCACTATCTTTGATTCACATACCTCTTATTCTCCAATTACTTCTACACCTTATTGTACTATATTCTGGCTAGAGTATACCACAGTCATACTATAGTGTATTACAGTGGACCATAATGTGATGCTCCTAGAGTATGGTGTATTACAGTTGTGCTCTACTGTTTGACACTAACTATAGTATACTACATTAACACTACGATATACTGAAGAATATTATATTCTAGTTTACTTTACTACAAATATACTGTAATATGATATAGTACTTTTTTGTAAGGGACATTTTTTTTAGTCAGGGTAAGCTACCACTCTAGGTGTCTCTTAATGTTGATGAAGATTGCAAGCTATTTTTTTTTCCTTACCATTTTATTACACATGAAAGATCATTTACTTTTCATAAGCATTTGGGTTATTGTTTTTAACTGCATTTCAACTACTTTTGTAAGTGCAAATGAATATTTTTTGTATATATATGTATTTTTTTTAGTTGTTCAGTAGTTAGTTTTTTTAGGAATATAAACAAAACAATATATTGCATTTCTTTAATGAAACATCAAATGCAGGAACATTATTAAGAATTATATAGTATTATAAAATAAAACGTTTACTGGATATTTTTAATTTGATTTTAAAATTGGTTCATGTAGCATAGCACTACCAATTCTCAGTGTTTATTGAAAGAATTATTGGATATTTTTATTTTGTTTTCATAGTGTCATTACTCTTTAATCTTTGAATAAATTCAGTCATATTCTAGTTACAAACCTACCTAATGTAATCTCGGTATATTCATAGTTGATTTTTTTTGTTTTTCAGTAATCCTTGTGACCTTCCTACTGTGATAATTTTAGATAATCTTCATTACGTGGGTTCTCTAAGTGAAGTGTTCAATGGTTTCCTCAGTGCAAAATATCAAAAATGGTATTATTTTGACCTTCTCAAACTTTTTTTTTTCTGTTTTACAAGTTACTTCTAATATACGGTTCAAATTCTGGTTCAAACCAGAAAATTAAACATAATCTTAGGTAACAAAGAAAAATAATACTACAAAACAGTTAATATAGGTTAAATAAATGTATTAACATTTTGTAAAATAGAATATAAAGCAGTGATAAAAAACTCATCAAATTAAAATAACTTTATTAATAAAACAAGAAAATGACATTTTGGGGCAACAGCCCTTCATCAGGTTACCAGTGACAATGAAACTGTTAATATAAGGGTTAGGTTAAAAGAACAAATAAGACGTAAGCTACGTTTCAGTCCACCAAACTACAACAACAACAGCTTCAACTACAGCATTAATAAGATTCTTTTGTGCAGCTCCTTCAAACTTATGCATTAAACATTAACTACCATGTGCCAGTGAAGAGGCACAGCCACCATTAACCTTCATCAAAGACATCAGGAGCTTTATGAAATCTTTAATTTCCGTACTGCCTCTACGATCTACATGTCTGTACATGACTTTAATAGAATATATCATAAATCTGTTAAAAGTACTAAAGAAACAAAACTGTGTAAACTATGTATTAAAACACATGATCCTTGTTCTACTAAAAATAGTCCTGAAGAAAATCCTAATTTAGTTGTTACCATTCCTGCTGATTTATCACTGTCTGACACAGAAAAGTCAGTCTTCAACAAAGGTCTCAATTTCATTTCAACAAGAAAGTCTATTGATGTATTCACCCTTCGAGAAGACTTGGAGAAATTTTACCGTAGGTTAAGATTACAGGCACGTTTTTCAAAATCAACTCTTTCTACAAACACATCTTTGAGTCTTTACATAAATCCTTCATGTGACAAAACTCATCTCGACATCAACAACAACCAACCTCCAGTTGTGGATCAACAACCCCACCTACACCAAGTTACTACCTCTGACAGTATTGGTGATCATTTAACTTCTAATATGATGCTCACTATATATCAGTACCAACATGGAACATTCACTAGCTTAGAATATTTTGTACAAAAGTTTCTTAATGATATAGACAAATTGGATTTTCTAAGTAAACCTAAACACAGTAACCTAACTCCTGATGTACACAAAACCTTACTAACACTTTCTAAGCGATAAGATGTAATTATTAAACCTGCTGATAAAGGTGGTGCTATAATAGTATGGTGCAAAGCTCTGTACCTTGCTGAAGCAGAAAAACATCTTTCTGACATTAATTTTTACTGTCCCTTAACTAGCGATCCAGCTACATTGATTAACTTGAATATTAAAACTACCATTAACGATTTGATTCTTACAGGTAACTTGCCATCAGATGCTACTAATCTAATTGCTAGTTACCCCAGAATTTTACCTCCTCCCTAAGATTCATAAACCAGGGAACCCTGGTTGCCCAGTTATTTTAAATTCTCTGAGAGTGAACAGTATATATTTACCATGGGCATACAAACACTCTACACATCAATTCCCCATAACAATGGTATGAAAGCCCTCAAACATTACCTGGATCTGCGTTTTTCACTAAATTTCCCCCACATACCCTCTTACGTCTTGCCAAACTTGTATTAACCCTTAATAGATTCTCCTTTAATGGCAAATTAATGGTTGCTATGGGTACTGAAATGGGTCCTTCCTATGCTTCATTGTTTGTTGGTTACATAGAGAATCAGATTTTCTCCATTTATCAAGGAACACTTCTACTCTTTACAAACGTTATGTTGATGACACTGTTGTGCTACCACCCTTGTGTAACTTAAATAATTTTTTACACTTTGTTTTCTCCTTCCACCTAGCTCTTACCTTCACATGGACAGTTTCCTCAAAGAGCTTACATTTTTTTGACATTCTAGTCTCCATTGAACATTGTCAATTAACGATTTCTGTACACTACAAACACACTGATTCCCATTCTTAACTCTGCTATGACTCTTTTGCATTCACATCATACATTTCAGTCTTTTCCATATTCTCAATTCCTAAGACTATGCAGTGAACAAATTGATTATGAGTCGAAATCTGAAGATATGAAACATTTCTTCATCAGTTGTTTCTACCCCAAGTCTTTAATAAAAAAAATCCACTCAACACGTTTATTCTGTAACTCGACAATACACCCTAACATCTAAACCCAAGTCTACAAACTCTTGAATACCACTTATCTGTACCTAACATTCTAATACCTCTAAAGTTGCCTAAATCATCAAACAAAACTTCAACACCCTTACTGATGACCTCATAACTTCCAAAATTTTTAAAGAACCCCCACTTGTCAGTTACAGACACGATAAAAAAAAAACATCTTAGTTAACAGTGATCCAGAAATCTACCCCTGGTGTGAACCCAGGTATAGCCTGTTGTCACAGAAAGAAATGTGTCACCTGCCAATATGTTAACACCACAATGTCCATATTTGGCCCCAATGGAAAATTTCAAATACAACAATCATTCACTTGCATTTCAACAAACATGATATACTGTGTATGCTGTAACAAGTGCAACATGCTATACATTAGTAAAATGGGTCGCCATTTAGGGGATCATTCACGTGAACATCTCTTACATATGAAATAATTATGCTAAAAAACCATAGGTAGAAATTTTAATAACGCTTCACATGGCATGTCCGACTTCTCCATAATTGGACCCACATTTGCTCCATCCACTGTAACCCAAAGAGAACAGCTGGAAAAACGTTTGATTTTTAGATTAGGCACTGTTAATCCCTTTGGAATGAATGAAGAGTTCTCTTTCCTTTAACTTTATCCTTTCCATTTCCCCGTCCTACACTTTTTCTATACTTTCTCACACTGACATTTAGTGGCTACAACCTTTCCGTTCAAGGTACACACTCTGTTTCCTCTCTAGCCCGTTCACTTCAGTCACCCACTTTTGTTACCTTTATATTCTTTTCTTTTCACCGTCATTATTCACTTCTATTAAGTTCACATACCTTTTTATTGTTGTATTCATTTTAACAATATTACCCAATGCACGTGTTCATTCATTTTCTTACATTCTTGCCCGTATTTTTGTTCTACGTTTCCTTTTTTTTAAATTTATTTACTATAATTAACTTTATTTATACAATTTTTATACTTTTATTATTATTATATTATTATTTTTATTTTATATGTTACTTCTCTCAGCTCATTTTTAGCTTCAGGAACATGTTCTTGAGCCTTCGAGCCATATGTTATTTTTTCTTTCAGCCTAACCCTTATATTAACAGTTTCATTGTCACTGGTAACCTGATGAAGGGCTGTTGTCCGAAACGTCATATTCTTGTTTTATTAATAAAATTATTTTAATTTGACGAGTTTTTTTACTACTACTGTATATTTTATTTTGCATTTTGTTATTTCCTTGCCTATGCAATTATTTTATTACTTGAACTAACTTAACATTTTGTCTCAACTTCTTGATAGCTATATAGTAATTGATAATAAATTGCATCTGTTCAGTTGGATAAGTTTCTTTCCATTGGAAGTATGAAGTGTAGAAGTGAAATTTGGGTTTTTATATAATTAATGTGAGAATGTTTCATTGATAAATTTATAAGTATTTTTCTATCTTTATTTGAGCCAGTAAATTTTTGTATAGGTTCTATAAATTTCACTATTATAAAGTTAATAATCAAAACTAATAAAGGCAAGGTTAAGAGATAGATTGAGGAATATATATATTTTTGTACTAATATATATATTTATTTTTTATTTATTTAGTCCATATATTATTGGAACAATGAACCAAGCCACTTGCTCAACAACAAACCTCCAGTTGCATCATAACTTCAGGTAAGCATTGTATGGTGTGATTCAAACTTCGAAGTAAGCCTTGTGTTATGTATTGTCATGCAAACTTCAGGAAAGTATTGTGTGATATCATCCAAACTTCAAGGTAATTATTCTATGATGTCATCAAAATTTCAGGTATGCATTATCTGATGTCATAAAAATTCAAGGTAAGCATTGTCTATTGCCATCCAAATTTCAGATAAGCATTGTTTATTGTTATCCAAACTACAGGTAAGCATTGTTTGATGTAATCCAAACTTCAGTTAAGCCTTGTTTGTTCTTATCCAAACTTTATATAAGTATTGTCTGATGTTATCTAAACTTCAGGTAAATATTGTTTATTTGTCAAGTTTTTATAGAGACGGATTTCTTACAGCAGGTGTATGTGACTTGTTGGTGATAAATTTCAACAATAAACAGACAGCACACAATCCACTTGTTTTAAAATATTATATAATCAAAACAAGTTAAACGTATGTACAAAAATTCTTTACACTATTGGCTATTACAATTGTATCCAGAGCTTTAAGTAATTGTTTCTTATTTGTCAAAGTCCACACAGGCAGGTTAAATTACTTTAGATCACCCTCTGACAAGACAAGTTATGCTCCTCTATCTGTTATTACAATACAAGCTGTGAAAGTCACTTTAAAAATCACCACAATAAGCTCTTTATGGCTAAACTCACAATCACGCAGTTTAACTTTACTTTTTTCACTTTTACTTTCACTGACTTACTTACTTGCATTAACATAGTCACCTATATCTATATATTTATATATATATTGCCCAACTGAGGCCTAGAACTTTCTACAAACTACGAGACATTATGATGTAACAATACTCATTTAAAGCAATGAGAAAAATTCAGAACATGACGTCAATTAACGACAGCTGAACTACTAAAAAGTTACGTAAACAAACTTGCCCTAACTGTCACTTCTAAAAATACTAAATTTAACACTTATGCTTTATAACCATCTAAATCATAACTCTTGAATTTAGTTTAAATGAAACTGTCATGTATAGCTAACAGTATTGTCATTCAAACTTCAGGTAAGAATTGTGTATTGTGATCACTAATTCTGTTAATATTTATGTAATGTTGTCATATTTTCAAGTCATAATCATGTAATATGAATAAAGCTTCAGGTTAGAATTATGTAACATGAATAAAGCTTCAGGTTAGAATTAAGTAACATGAACAAAGCTTCAGCTAAAAAGTATGTAACTTTAACATAACCTCATCATAAAATAATATAATATCTTTATAACTCTGAATGTTAGCATAACTTCAGGTAACAAATACATAACATGATCAAAGCTCAAAGTAAGAAAAATGTGCAAGATCAAAGCCTTAGCTAAGAAATATGTAATGTGATCAAAGCTTTACGTAAATGTTATGCAATTCGATCATATTCTTTGGTACGAATTATGTAGCATGATTAGAACTTCATAAATAAATGAGTAATATAATTACTTTGTCAGGTAAGAATTATGTATATGATCATAACTTCATATAAAGAACGTATAACTTGACCACAGTTTGATGGTACTTAATCACAATTCTGTGTTTGCATCATGTAACATCATCTAACTCTAAATAAGGTTTGTGTAATGTAACAGGATTTAATAACCCTAGATAATGTAATCTTAGGTATATATTAGCAGTAAAAACTACATTCAATAAATTTGTACTTCATTTTGGGTTAGAAAATTCAGTTTGTTTGATGATTTTACACTACCACCAATTTACATAGTAAGTGCATTATTAGTTGTTAAACAGAAATGTTTCTTTGTTTTTTAACTTTTTAAGTATATTATGTAAAATGGTACTTACAATAGAAGAAAATTATCATTTACCTATGTATGTGTGCTTTTTGCAGTTTATTGGATTATTATAAAAATAAAGCTACTTGTTGCAAATGTAACTATGTACTAATGTACGATGCCTTTTGTTCTGCAGGTGGGTCCTTTGTGCTAACCACAGGGAACCTGTTAAAGGGTTTTTGGGCAGGTACCTCAGGAGAAAACTTGTAGAACATGAAATCCAGAGTAATTCAAATAACCCAGAGCTCACCAAAATTATTGAGTGGATGCCAAAAATATGGGAACATTTGAACAACTTTCTAGAAACCCACAGCTCTTCTGATGTTACCATTGGTATGTTGAGAGTGTGGAAGGCTGCTTGCTTTTGTGATGATAGTATCACAGTTGCTATATATATATATATATATACACACACACACACATTATTTATACAGTTAGCTTAAAATGATTCTTTTTTGCACTTTTTTTAAGAATTTTGGATCGGTAGGCATATGATATTTTGTCAAAAATCAGTATATAAACAGAGTATCTGGCATTAGAAACAGTTCTTCAATACTGTTTCAATTTCTAGATTTTTCCAATTTGAACAGTTCTAGCTTTATTTTATAAAAGCATAAGAAAAAGAAAAATTAATCGTCTTCAATTGTATACCAGTCCTGAGTCAACATTGGTCAGGCTGTATGACTTTTCACTCCTATTCATTTGCTTTCATGCATGTTAAGTAGATAGTGAGTGCATATTTTTGAATTATAGTTTCTACAGTCCTAGTATAGTTCAGATATTGTCTTACTCTCTCTTTTAGGTCCAAAATTATTCTTATCTTGCCCTTTAGATGTTGTCAGCTCCCAGGTATGGTTTACAGATCTATGGAATTATGGTATTATTCCATATATCATGGAGGCTGTTCGAGAAGGACTACAGGTGTGTTATTCTTAATTTTTCATGAATATTTAAAGAATGTTTTACAAACGTTTTTTTTATAAAGTTCTTTTTTGTTTAATCAAACTGTTGATTTAAATCTTTACATTTTTGATCTATAAATAATACTCAGAGTGGAATGTGTATTTTTTTCTATTGAATGTTAGACCTATAAGACTTTCATTTAAAATGCATGTTTTTTATATTGCCTAATTGGTGGAATAGCTTAACCTTTTATTCTAGCTAATCTATTTTCTTGGTTTGATTCACTCTTGTCAGTGTTATTGATGAAGAGTGGTATTCCTTGAAAAATATAACCCAATGGCAAGTGATGAATCATTTAGTAGATTGGGCCTTGTATTTATATTTAGGATCTTAAATAACTTCTCTGTTGAATAATGTAGAATAATAATTTAGTAGCATCACTGCTATATTTTCTTCAAATCTAATATAAATATAGAGTCACTGTGGTGAGCAAAATACAATTGAATATAAATAAACTTTTATAATTATCTTTTTCTATGAAAGTAAACAGTGAAATATGTTTGAAGAGTAATGTGTATTAAAAAGTTATTTTACAAACGTTTTCAGAAACTATTGAAACATGGTAGAAAGAAGCAATTAAGTTGATTATATTTTTTTCTTAAAAGTTAATTAAATTATTATCATTTAAATATTTCAGAGATTGTATTTCATTATAAAATGTATCTTATTTCACCATGTACTTGTGTGGATAGTGACACACTACGACATTTGTATTATAAACTGTAATTCTTCATTATACTTAGTTATATGGCCGACGTGCCCCGTGGGATGACCCAGCAGATTGGGTCTTTAAAAACTATCCCTGGCCAACTTCACGGGAAAGAAAATGCTCACAGTTGCTTCATTTACAACCTGAGGATGTAGGATATGAACATTGTTCAACACCAGGAGCAACTGCTGAAGGTCAACAGGGATCTTCAAGTGATGTTGAAGCTGATCCCTTGGTAAGGTTATTTTACAGGTGATTTGAGAAGATATCTCAGAAATATAGGAAGCTAATAACATTTGTGTAATGTCATACTGCTAGATGTAGAAGGTGGGCCTAAAGCGTATTCTTGTTTGTTTGTAAATTAAGTAACCATAATTTATTCATTAAAAACTTCATGAAATAATG